ATGTGCCACTCAGGGCCGTCTGCCACCTCTGTGCCACCTTTCTTCCACCTCCAGCTACACCACTGTTTTTGTATATACCAGAGTAATAGCAGCCCTGTTATATGATTTCCTAACACCTCTCTCATATTCTTTTGTTTTCTGCCTCTTTTCCATTGAAAGTTGATGTGGCAACAATAAGGAACACTTTCACGTTTCTATCATAGCGCATTGGAAGATATTCACATTGCATAAGATAGCTACCTGTGTCCTATTTACATTACTAGATATGTAACAGATAAAACCTAGGTATGCACTTTTTAGAGACTTGCCTGCTATGCACTGAACATATAATTCAACATGGTAGGAGATATAGGAGAGGTACATGATACAACTGTCCTTGTGGAACTTAACATATAATTGGAGAGACATGACAAGACAACTCCCCAAAATAAAGTAAATTATATGCTACATTGAGGGCAATTGCTCAACAAGCTCAGAAAACAGTAAGATAAACAGAGTCCAAAATACCTGGAAGTCATTTTGTAGAGAACTTCGCATTAAAGCTTTGACAGGGTGGTAAGTTTATGGGGTATGAAAATGTGAGAATTAAACCACAACCAGAAGAAATAGACAGAGCGAATGGAACTGAGGTTGAACAGTGTGGCAGCCACCAGGTACTGTGCTTGACTGAGTAGGAGAGATAATATTGAATAGTAATTTAAAATTCATGGCTATTCAGATATATATATATATATATATGTATATAAAACCTTTACCATATTTTATGATCATTGCCCACTGATCAAATATTTACATCAATTTCTGTCAAATACACACCATTATGTTGTATCCTTACCTATCTTACTCACCAGATCTGGTCTTGTGTGACTTTTGCCTCTTTCTCAAAGTCCAAATGACTGCAAAAGGTAACTTTTGAATAGATTCAGGCATGGAAGTAACCACAACAGCACAACTGAGGACATGTATGAAAGAGGACTTCCAGAATGGCTTCAGAAAGTGAGAGGAACAATGGGATAAGTGAATTTGAAATGAGGGAAAATATTTTGAGTGGAGTTAATAGCAATGTATCTTTTACTTTAATAGATTTATTAAAAATTTAAATGTTCACCATAATTTTTGATTAAACCATATATTCAGTGGGCAAAATTTTAGTTGCTTATCTGATAGATCTATTAAAATACAGATTGTGAGAAATTAGTATTACAGGTTGTAACACTGTTAAATTTTGACCTTGTAAAACAATAGATATCAGATACTAGCATGATATATGAGCTAGATCATCTTGTAGAAATTTCCTAATACAAAGAGGAGAGGTTTGGTAACTCCTATGTTTCTAATCCCAAAAGTTTGGGAGATCTGAGGATTAGAGAGAGATTTATTTGGAATTAGCTGAATGTGCTAGAAATATCCATAAATGACAAGCGATGAGCTCATGAGCAGCTTAATATACGCCAATGGAGAGGGGCCAAACTGCAATGATCCTACTCTTTTGGAGAGCGGTAGAGCATTTACTTTGGAAGAGATATGTGCCACAAATATGCAAGGGCTGGCATAGGTTGCTTAGTGCCTTCCCCTATGACTGCCCAGCAGGTGAACTAGTCAGTACACAGAAGTTCATGGTGTTACTTGAAGCTATGGATGGAGTAATAAACTGAGACAATATGACCCACATCAACAATAGTCCAGATGAAAGGTCTCCAGTGAGTGGAGGAGGTAAGATCAATGAAGAATTTGGGAAAAACGGTCCACAAGGAAAGAATTAGCCTTAAACACACCCCAGTCCCTGAGAGTGAGCCTCTGGGCTTAGTGACCAGAAAGTTAACTTTTCCTTCACAATTTACTTCCTCTTTCCTCACCTTCACCGTTTTACTCTTCCTTCACATTTCAGAGACATCAGGACATGAGGTTAACTGTTTGGGAAAAGTAGGAAGTGGGGAGAGTTGAGATGGACAAATCCTTCTTGATTGGTTGTTGTTGTTCACTTACAGCAGATTCTAGCTCTGGCGAGGAGAATGACTGAGGGAGGGAATAAGACATATTTCCATAACCTCTAATTTCTGTGTATTTTTTTTTTGTATGTAGCCAGATGCTTTCTAATTGCAGGAAGTGGTGAGGTAAAGTAACTACTGCATAAGTTTTTTTAAACTTAGGGGGGGCAGTCAAAATCTGGTGGATGTCTGACTCTTGTTGGTTGAAATGACCTTTGATTAGTTTCCTATGGTATATGGTTCCTATGCTATAACAAATGACCAGAAAAGGAGTGGCTTAGAAGAAGAGAAATTCACTTTGTCATATTCCTAGAGCTTAGAAGTCCAAAATCAAGGTGGCATCAGGATTATGCTCTCAGGGAGAATCTGTAAGGCTGCAGCAATTAGTTTAGCTTTGGCATTCATTATCTTGAAGGTGCTTCATTTTAGTTTCTGTGTCTGTGGTAATTCTCATTTTTTCTAGGGGTGTCTTTGTAATCCTCACATACCACTCTTTGTGTGTGTTTGTTCTCATTTCCTCTTGCAAGGATATCAGTCATGTTGGATTAAGGGCTCACTCTAGTGACTCCTCATATGAGGTTAAATCTTAACAACATCAATGATGATTTCATTTGCAAAGGAGGCACCTTCAGAAATACCAGGGTAAAAAAAAAGAAATACCAGAGTAGGAGGACTTCACCATATCATATAATTTAACTGGCAACAGATACTATGTAGATTTTGGTCCACCTCATGCCTATAAATGGGGTTAGGAGTTGTGTGCGTGACTGTAGTTAGGGATGCTTCCTAGTTTCATTTCTGTCTGCCTGTCTATCTATCTATTATCTATCTATCTATCTATCTATCTATCTATCTATCTGTCATACAGGGGATTGAACTCAGGGTCTTTGCATTGAGCTTTATTCCTAGGCCTTTTTTAAACTTTTTTTTTTTTTAATTTTGAGACAGATTCTTGCTAAATCACTAAATTTCCTTGGGGTGGCTCAAACTTGAAAACTTGTGATCCTCTTGCCTCAGCATACCAGAGCACTGGGATTACAGGAGGTGTGTCACCCTCACCTGGGACCAATCTTTTAAACATGGGCCTTTAGGGGACAGTCATCATCCAGATTTAAGTCTTTCAAAGTCCTTCTGTTTTGTGAAATGTTCTTCCACCGACTGTACTGATTGTCATCCATGCCTTTTAGTTCAACTATTTTGACTGGTTTTTTGAAAGATTTTTTTGTTGTTGTTTTTTCTTCCAGTACCAGGAATTGAACTCACAACCTTGTGCTTGCCAGGCAGGCGCTTTGCCGCTGAGCTAAATCCCTAGTCCAAAAGATTATTTTTTAAATGGGCACTTTTCCCCTTTAACTTCCTGCAGAATATTCTTTCCATAATTTCTGCTGCTTCCACACATTTTATGTTGTTTCACGATAGCATTTCCACCAATTACTCTAAAATAATTGTTCCCAGATATGTTTCCTTCACTAAATTGTTTTCCTTAAATCTTGTTGTTTTTTGTAGTTTCTCTTAAGTGTGTCACATGCTCTGGATTACAGAAGGAGCTAGGTGTTTTCTGAGTGCGATTGAGTGTGCTGGGAGTAGACCAGGGCCAGCTGCATTAAGTGAATCTTGAAGTGTATGGCAGTGTCTTGAAAGCTTCTTCAAGAAAAATCTTCAGTAAAATTGAGAGGAGACATAGAAGTAGAGCAGGCGACAACTTACTAAAAACCTTCCCAAAATATTTTCAAACTGTTTCCCCCTACTGCTAAAGACTTAAAATGACGCTTTATTTTCCTTGGTCATCAGAGTCTGATGAATAAATGGGCAAATTAGTTGATGTCTAGTATGATAGGGTTTAATCATTTTTCCATATTGCTCATTAGAACATTGATTCTCAATGGGGCAGTGAGATTTTTTTTAAAAAGACAATAATGCTAATGATAGTAATAATAATGATGTTGGCATTGATACAGGCTGACATTTAATGCATAGCTTAATGTTGTGCTATGTCCAGTGTCTGTGTTTAGCTCACTTAGCTTTCCCATAGACTCTATGAAGTAGGAAGGGTTATAATTCCCATACTATAGATGAAAAATAAAGGCTTACAAGAGTTTAATTCACTTTTCCAAGATCATACATCTGGTAAGATGCTGTAGTGAGCGCATTCATATGACTATCCTTGTGATGACTGCTATAATCAATGAATCAATGTCACTTTTAACTGTTAACATTCCTTCAGTCAAATAACTTTCTTAAGGCATGAATGCAAAATTCTTACTTATCTGTGTGATGGCCCTTTCTGGAAAGCTATTGCTCGGATTGAATTTCTTATCCTCCAATCTGAACATTCAGATAATGATGCAATAAAATCTTTTATGGGATACTCCTCAAGATTGTTATATGCTAAGGGAGGGAATGAGATATATTTTCATAACTTCTGGCTTCTACAAAGTGCTTTCCTCCTCACTGCAGCACAGAAAAGCTTTGAAATTGCCTCTCATAAGGAGGGTAATCAGCAATTATTTACAGAGTCATCCCACAGCATCTCATCTTATCACTTTTGTGGAAAGACCCAAAATTTCATGAATATTTTAAAGCTCATACTTATGAGGAGAGGGAGGAAAGCAAGTTTAGATAATTGCAAATTTAATTTCAGTTTGTTGTATTCCAAGTCTATAGTCTATTCCAACATGTTTACATCTCATCTTTTGAAATGATGGAAGCTGACGCTTTCCGTGCTGAAATGCAAGTTTTATTCCCATATAAGAGGAGAGAGAGAAGCTCAGATGTCAGGCTGGGTCTCTGCCCCCGTCACCCAAGTTCTCAGCTGCAGGGAAGAGAGGACCTCTGGGGAAGTTATTTAGCATTTAAAGCAAGTCCTTCCCAAGGCAGCTGCTGAATGGCGCTGAATATTTTGTTAAGTGACTTTCTTCTCTGACCTTTATTACTAATGAATCTTTTTAAAGAATCACTTAAAGAGTGAAAAGAAGGTTTGTTTTTGTTCAACTCTTTTCTCTTTGTCCACAGAACCCAAAGAAATGGTGTTACCTGGCCAGAGATCTGCTGTCTTTTATGAAAAGTCAGACCAAGGTTAGTGCTGCTTATTTTTGATATGTTTTTAGTCTGTTTACCACATGAAACTATTGACTTTCTGTATCAGTGGTTTTCAATATTAAGTGACTCATCAAAAATGTAAATCATCTGAAAAGCAGAAGGAAGATTTATGGTGATCACCATATTTATAAAATGAACAGTGAAATTTTAAATATATACTAACTTTTGGAAACATTGCGGATGATGATTACTTTTATGATGGTAGTTTTTAATTCATGTTAATATACTGGTGGTGTCTTGATGAGAAGATTGCAGTCTCTTTATTTGGAAATAATGCCTGTTGGTGTAACCTATTTACATGTGCTGGGAAATAAGAAAATGAGACCTTCATCTGGGTCCAGTGATGAAGGAGGAGGTTTTCCTTTATGAGGAAATAAAGCATTAGTCAGATGGCTTTATAGATTACTGTTTAGTGATGCAAATTTCACTATAAATTTCTAGAAAACTACATCGTTTTAAAAAGACATTCTCATATAAAATACATATTTCCTCTAGAAAGATCGAATTATACAGTTGTTGAATAGCATGCCTGATTATGCTTCACAGATTGCATATTTAGTTGCTAAATTTTCAAATTGCTATGTGATTTATTTACATATGTTGTCCTAAGAATATAAAAACTCATGCCAATATTATAATGACATATACATGTAAACAAAGTGTGAGTATAGAAGCAGTGTATATATATATATATATATATAAACTACTCTTTCAGAAGATATTTTTATAGAAAAGTTTTGAACAGAATTGTGCAGGGAACAGAACGCATCTACTGAGAACTGTCTATGCATATATCTATAACATCAGTGTATGTATATAAACATACACATTAACTGAAATGTATTATGTCCTTACATACTGTTGGGAACTAACTTTTATTTCTGACTAATTGTTGAAGTCCTCCAAAACATATGAATTCTGGAAAATAGAATTTAAAATTTAATGAGTATTGGCACAAATTTGTTTCAAAATTTTTATTTGTAATTTAGCAAAAATGAATTATTATATCATAAATTGGAGTCTTTGTGCTTACTTTTGGCATCAGTTAATTCTTCAAAGGATATCTAAACCCTTTGAGAAAACAGCTTCTCTCTCCTAAAGGAGAGTTTTTAATTAGGACACTCTAGCCAAGTTTCATCTTCTCCAAAGTGTTAATTCAAACCGACATAATTGAAAATAGTTAATAAAATGGATTGAGGGTTTCTGTGCTTTCTAAAGGACATGATAACAAGACCTAACATCTAGGTAATATGTAGAAGAAGTTGAGGGTAAATTATGGGACAGATATGGGGAGATGAGTGGTAGAAAGTACTTCCTTTTAGTTTTGTTTTTGTATCGGGAGCCAAACTCAGGACCTTGCACTTGCCAGGCAGGCACTTGTGCCCTGAGCTGTATCCCCAGACCTAGAAAGTACTTCTTGATGGGGAATCAGTGGAAGACAGTGCTGTTCAGAAAGGTGAAAGTGTGTTTCTCACTGTATGAGAGGGAGCCAGTAAAGAAGGTTATGGATCCCCATGCTTCAGAATGAAAATAAAGCATGAGAGAAGGACAGACTCTCCAGAATGTATTCATGGGAAAACTGGCTTTTCCCAGAAGTATTTGTACACTAATACATTCTATTAATTAGGAGTATATTATATATTTGATATATAAATAGACTTATTTTGAACTGAATGTAGTAGAGGAAGGTTGGGGGTAAGGAGGGGACTTCTCATTCACACTAGAATTTTTAGCATTGTAAACCCAGAATGACAAAATTTGTCTCTTTTTGTCTTGAGAATAAATGTGTCCTGTACAGTGCTAAAGGTCAAGTGCTTTGGTATGATAACACTTCCAAAGTCAGTGTGGTCAGGACCTGTCTGCTCTTGTGTCAGAGTGGGGAGAAGTGGACTGAGGTGGGAGAACTGGTATAGAAAAATGGGTTCATATCAAGGTCTCTGGAGGTTCATTCTTTAGATTCACTTAACGGGTGTTTTACTTCTCATAGAATTCTTATTAATAGGTAGAGAGTGCTAGTGTATTGATGCTTTGCCCCTGTTATCTCAGATGAGACAAATACATTTAAATTTTAATGCTTTACATAGTGGAGGTTTAAGACATACTCATAAAGGTGCTAATTTTTAGACGAGTACAACTGTGTGGCTTACGATAGTGGTGAATGAACAACAATGAACACATTCATTTTGTGTAAGATTAACTCTGACAAAAGATCCCAGAGTGCAATGTGTTGAATTAACTGGTACTTTTCTGGGTGCAAATACCTGAAAAATCTGCATTTGACACTTTTTGTTTGTTTGTTTGTTTGTTTGTTTTCCAGTACCGGCAATTGAACTCATGACCTTGTGCTTGCCAGGCAGGCACTGTGCCACTGAGCTAAATCCCAAGCCCCTGCTTTTGACACTTTTAAAAGGGATAATTAAGTAAATTTTCATGTAGTGTCTTATTACTGGCAGTTATTAGTACTGTCACTATACTCTTAATTTTACAATCCAAAAATACAGGCAAATTTAACTAGTCAGGTCAAAATGCAAAACGTTCTTCAATATATTTAGTAAGATTTATAAGTCTATAATGTTATATATAATATTTTCACGTATTTTCTGAAAATATACATTCAAGTAAAATTTCACTTCTAGAATTTGTTTTTATTGCTTAAGAACGTTAAATTTTATTCTCAAATGTAGTTAGCTTTTCTATAAAAAATCAAAATGTGATTACAAATATTTAGTTAAGCATTTTGATGTACTTTAGTTAAGCATTTTGATGTACTTGAAATCTAGGCTTAGAGTAGACTGAGTAGAAGGATAGTTTTCTTTCTTATATTCCATAGCCTGTAACCTTAAACTGTAACCTTGTAACCTTAAAACTTCTCTTTAAAAATTAGCCTTCTGAACACTTATCATGTTCCAACCCTCTTTCCTTCTCTCCCCGAGCCTGCTTACACTCAGTAAAATCAATTAGATACAGTCTCTATGATACTCTTATTGATTTACATATATTTTGTATTCTCCCTTGTGTACACATGTGTATATACATGGGAATATATTATGTCATTGTACATGAAGGGACACATATGTTCTGCCGGTCACTTTCACTTTCACCTGTAAGTAAAGCAGACACATTTTGAATGAATGTACTTCTTGAATCTCTAGGATTTTTCCATTGAAGGAAAATTTAAAAGCCTAAAGGAGATTGGCTTATACTGTAAGAGTTATAATTTAGCTATGTTTTATACTAATTAGCTGTACCTTGAGCGCCTACAGTATTTTTATCACTTATTTTCAAAGAGAATAAAATTTAAATTCAAACCCGCTAATTTATAAAGCCACTGTAAAAACATGCTCTTTTCACCAAGGAGAGATGGCCTAATTCTATCACTGCTTGGGTTTGTGCCACTTTGCAAATGTCTTTGGAGAAAAATCTAACCTGAGCTACTCAGCAAAGTCACTTTGGCTTAAGAGAAAATCAGTACCCTGTGAGAACACTACCTATTCTAGAGCTTTCATCAGAATCATCAGGAAAATAAGTCTTACTGGGATGGCTATCTCATTCATTTATTCATTTTTTAATTAAATCTTTGCCTACTATGTTCAAAATGCTAGAGTGAAGATACATCCCGGAACTAGAACGTCTCTATGCTATTCTACACACACACACACACACACACACACACACACACACACACACACGCACACACCATGTGTATGTGCACAAACATGTAGGCTATAAAATCTACTTGCCTACTGATAGAAGTTATTTCTGTGATTCTAAATTTCTACACAAATTTCAATTTCTTCTGTGTTCTTCTCTATATCATTCAAGTATATGATTAGAAACCATTGAAGGAGTCTCTGATGGCTATGTTTAAGTCTCTGATCATTGTTGAATCTGTGTGTAGAACTTTGTGGCCATTTAGAATATACATGCTTGTGTGTGGTAATACAGTCTAAAATATCGCATACCCAGATCTACAAAGGGGTCTCTGTAGGGATAATCTTAAAGTGCCTAAAAGCTAGGTGTGGAAGTTGGAGTATAGTTACTGTTGTTTGGAAGACTGAGATGAAACTAGGTCTGTTGTGGGTTGGGATGGAGCCATTAGTAGTTGGGGATCCCCAGGAACTGGCAATTCTCAGCCAAGGGCTAATGGCTTTGAGGGAACTGGTATTTTAAAGGCTTAACAGATATGTTAATTTTGTTTCTTCCATTTTGTGGTACCAGCATCAAGGGCAATCAAGTTATTGAATATAATGTGGTCTAGGCTGAATATAATAATTTGTAATATGCAATCTCCAGTAGACCTGGAGAGTGTACTCAGTGAAGTCTATCTAGCTAATATTGCATATTATATGTATATATGCCTCTCCCTGTCTCCCTCTCTCTCTCTCTTTCTCTCTCACTCTCTTTCTCTCCCTCTCTCCCTCTCCCTCTCAAATGCATTTAGCTTTTAAAAAATTATGCCACTAGATGTCAGCAGCAACCTCCCAGGGTTTCTATGACCTTAATTTGTAACAAAAGATGTTATTAGAACATCCTATCAGAGAATAATACTCAAATTTGAAAGTTTAAGACCTGTCTTTGAAGTATTAAAATTAGTATATAAAATATCGTGAAATTATTTTTAAACTAGTTTCTGTCCATATGTAACATGTTACTTTTACTTTATGGCTTTCCTGCAGCAGTGAGGCTTTGTAAAGAATTATCTATGAGAGCTGAGTGATTTGGCAGAAATCCTACCTGCTGCCGCAGCTCTAAACTCCTGTTTCAATGCTTTATGATTCATTAATGCTGTCGCTGCATAAGGATTTGGGTTTTGGCTTTATTTTATTTTGTTTTTGTACATGTGTTTTTGGTGATGTTCACCATCAGAAGGTTATATTGTATTAATTTTTCAGTATTCACATCTGTGCTCTATTTACTTAGTAATCATTAAACTATCTTGGGTCTGTGTTCTACCGTTACAAGATACTCAGAACATT